AACAATGCCAAGAGCTTTAGGCCTCCAACTAAGTGCAGAAGCTGACTCTCCAACTGAGGACTCAGAAGATCACTACCACGTTTCCATTTAAGGGAGGTAACTACTTTGAGTCTATACAAACATATGCTGCACACAAAGTGACAAGCCCTGTAAATCATAAACAGTAATACAAACTTAGCTTACTTTTTAAAAAAGAATTTTACAAAAATAAAATTACCTAAAATTAAGCCCACCATTGTACTTAAATATCCGGTTCCACTTCCCAGGTTAAGAAAAGACAATCCTGGTTGGAGTTTCAAGGCTTCCATAACTTCAGAGTAAATGCAAGGTGCTGACAGGTGTATGTTCCCATGCTTCCAGGCTAAGTCTTTGTACGCATTGTCCCGGTAGCCTTCCAAATAGTAATCTCCACGATCAATCGCTCTGAAGGCTTGCTCCACCCTTTCAGTGCGGATATACTGGGCTTCTTTTAAGTTATCAATTAAGTCATCATTATCTTCCCCAGCACTCACTGCTCCTCCCATGATAGCATTCAAATCAAATCATAAATTTTAAAATGCAATAAAATTAGCAGAAATGGCTTCCAATAATGTGCAGTACAGTTTGTGTTCCTTTTAATATTGCACTTGATTTCCAAAAATAAAACAATCCTGAAAGGGAAGAATAAAAATAAACAGGTTTAAATTAATGCCCCAATGGAAAGTAATTCCAGTTTATTAAATATGTCATCACCATCATAAGTACCATTTCTCAAGGACATGTTCGGTTCCAGGTATAGTGTTAAGCTCTTTCAATACATTCTTTTACTTACTCTTGTAACAACCACAAAAGGTAGTTTAAGTATGACCTCATTTGTACAGATGGGAAATTTGGAACACAGGAAAGTTAAGTCACCTCATACTACGCCGAGGCCCAATATGGCTACCTAGACCTAAATTAAATAAATTAAATTTAAAATTCAGTCAGACATTTGAAGTGCTTAAGACCTGCATGTGGCCAGTAGCTGCCATACTAGTCAGTGTTGCTCTAAAGAGACACTGCTGGGACAGTCCCAGGTCTCTCAGACTCCAGGAACCATGCTCTTTGTCACCAAGCCCTGTTGCCTTCTTTAGAGTATTTTAAGTCCAGTCTAATATTCATGGATTACTTGATTCAAAATTCCTGAACTTAAAAATCTGCTAACCATTCCCAAATGTACCACACAAATTCAAAATGTTAACACAAAGAATAATATAGTAACCAAACACTACTTACAAAATGCAAAAACAAAAACAGACCCACATTTTTAAAGTGTATATGTGTGTAGTTAAGAAATTGTTTTGTAAACCTTGTGATAAATAAGACAAGAAATTTTATTAACAACCTTAATAACATAAGCACTAGAACATACATTATACAAACATACACGCACAATGAACTTCTCTAACAGGTCAAACTCAGCATATTTGAATGCAACATACGTGTACCTTGATAAACTGTCAATACATATTACTGAATACACAACTTAAGCTTCATTCAACTACAGCTGATTAACTAAATCCATATACCAATTTTTAAATTAATAAATCAGGAGAGAGGGAAAGCGAGAAATGAAACGCCCATGGCCAAAACAAGAGCTGTGACAGTCGACTTGGGCAAAGCCACCCCTCCCTCCCTCTGGACTAGAGAAGCAAAGCAATCAGGTCTGAACTTCGTCCGGATGCTGAGACCCTGCAGCAGGCTGCTCCAGCACTCTGGGGGCAGGTGCCTTACCAGAGCCCATCCCTGTCTGTCCTTTGTCTCTTCTTATGACCTCCTTACACTTTCTGAGTAAACACTGTGAATTCACATCACATTCCTATTTAACTTATTCAAACTCACACAAACTTGGCCAACTTCACTGACCCCCAAAACCAAATAAAGAAAGAAATTTAAAAAGTGCAAGGGTTTGGGGCACCCCCCATGACTGTGATCTCGCAGCACGCAGTGCACTGGGACACGCCGATCAGCTGCCCCTTCGAGGAGTCTGAGTTCTGGCTTCCCTTTATAACTCAAGCACATCCACTCATGGAGTGCGAGTCTGGCATTTAAAGGTTTTTTTAATGACGTGGCTTCTAAGCACAGGTTAACTTTTTCATCTGGTACTCAGAGAATGAATGTCTTCCCAGGTGAAACAAAGGGCTCTACTGGAAATGTTGCAATTTACCAGTTTTTTTTTAATCCTCACGCAAGAATATGGGATATGTTTTCACTGATTCCAGAAAGAGAGGGAGACGGAGGGAGAAAAACATCAATGTGAAAGAAAACCAATGATCCCTGCTTCGCACATGCGCCCTTACCGAGGATGAAACCCACAACCTGGGCACGTGCCCTGACTGGAATGGAACTCTTGACCTTTTGGGACACGGGGTGACACTCCAACCAACCGAGCCACACCCACCAGGGCCATAACTTACTAGTTGAAAAAGGACCCCCCTTGTTTGGCTCTAGGGCTGAAGAATGACCTGACACCTCTCCAGCCCCGCTGACTGGCTCAAACCAATCTAAGACTATCACAGCAAAACAAAACACTGACCTTGCTACACGGAGGCTCACACTCCTGGTGGGAAAGGCAAGAGGAAGGGTCAGACAAACAGGGACAACCACCACCTGCTGACAGACAAGGACTCGCATGCCCACTTTCCGTGAGAAACCATCTGTAAAGGGATGGAGGGCTCCGACGCACACGACCACTGCCGCAGGAGCCCGGAGGAGCCCAGCCTGGAAACTGAATCCAGGCATCAGGGAGAGCTCTCTTAAGGACACCATCTGTGTAACACTTTTAAAGGAGCAACAAAACGGTAGGCTGAGGAAGCAACTGGCATTTACAGCGAGAGCGGCTTTTGAAGTATTACAAGCAGTTGGGGACCTTTCAGCACTATAAGACCTTTATCCTGTACCCAGTGACTTTTTTTTTGGGGGGGGGGACCTTTCAAGAGTTTGCTCATATGTATAACCCTTCTCTATTAAAAAATAAATCAGAAGTTTTGCATATAATTTCAATGGCTCCTGAGTTCTTCAGAGACCCAGGAGCCTACTCTAGTTTAAGAACATCTACTATGGGCAAAACACACTAATGGAGGGAATCACAGTTCCGTTGTAGGAAGGGCAGTGTAATCTGGGATCCAGACTCACTACAACAGACCTATCAGAAGGCTGGAAAAAACACACATCACCTTGTCAACAAGGAGCACTCCAAAACTGTGAAACCAGTTTTCCTGGACTCCTCTCTCCAGCCTGGTAGGAAAGACAAACAGATCTGAACACAAAGCTGTAAGGACATCCAGGAGGCAGGCGGTCAGGAAAGGCTTCCTGAAATAAAAGGCACAATCTGCTTTGATGCGTGTTTCTTTAACACACACTAGCCCTCGCATTTAGTATGTAGGGTAGTGGTGTGGCGACAATGAGGAAGTTGTGGTGGCTTACAACACGCTCATGTGCTGAAGCGACAGGAAGGTACAGCTTCCACATGTTAGAGATACCTTAGCAGCTGATGAAGACTGGAAGCCAATCAGGTGTGTGGCTTTAATGCATTTGGTTTTGGGGAAGAACCACTGAAGGTCCAGTTCAAAGATAGTGTCTTTCGGACAGCTCAGGGATGTTTTGTGGAAGGTTAAAGACAAGTCAAAGGAGGTGGGAAGCAAACAGCAGACAGATGTCCCAGAGTAGCGCAGAGTAAATACTGACTGACTTTCCTTCCCTCCTAGCAACCAGTGGCAAGCAGCCAATCGCTCCTTGCTGCTCCCTTCCTGCAAAGGTGGGACAAGGCTCACCAGCTTTGAGGGGAAGAGACGAGTGACAGCAAGGAGAACACACTACTTGAGGTGTGAACCACTCACCCCTCAACGACCTTGCCACGGGCATCCTGAAAAACAGGGCTGCACCGAATGAGAGGTAACCAGAGGAAAGTGTCTTCTCAGTGATGACAAAGAGATAGGATGAAATATAAATACAGTTGACATTTGAACAACACGGGGATAGGGGTGCTGACCCCCACCCCACTAGCTCCCAAAGTCAAAAATCCACATATACGTCTGACTTCTCCCCAAATTAGCTAATAGCTTACTGTTAACCTGGAGCCTTACCGATAGCAATCAGCACATATTTTGTATATTATATACTGTATTCTTATAATAAAGTAAACCTGAAAAAAGAAAATGTTATTTAAAAATCATAAGGAAAATACATTTAAAATACTGTATGTATTTACTGAAAAACTCGTTAAATTTGATGTAGGCATGGTGGACAAGCTAAAATTAGAACCCACTAAGCAATAAAGGAGCAGAAAAACAGCAAAGCCAATTCTTAAAACAAATGCCAGAGATAAGCAATAGCAAAGGTTACTTTTTCTTGTTAGTGGAATCTCAAACTGAAAGAAGAAAAAGACCATCAAAAAAACATTTATTGGAATAAAGCATTTCCAGAGCTGTGGAAACAGAGGAAAAACTAAATGTATAAACGGACACTAAAGAACTAAGCACATTTGTTGTATCACTCCTTCACAGAAAACAGGTCTGGAAGAAGCAACAGTAAATGACAGACTTTGCTACTGTACTAAAAATGAAACACAGTGAATACAGAGTGGCAATTACCAGAAAGACAGCCTTGTTTCTATAGGGCATTTGTTTTATTTTAATGTGGGTTGGGTGCAAGGTATATGTGTTTTGCAGGAACAAAAATACTTTCAAAGACAGTAATTTTTAGTAATTTGTCTTACCCAACTACTTTACTGTAATTTCTCCTAACATTTTTTATAGCTAGTGAGTCTAGGGTGGAAACTTATTTTTCTATATTTACAGTAAATGCATAGGGATAGTCTGTCTTTCCTACCGAGAACAAAGGTTATGTACAACTTCTTCTAGTACAGGATTCTTTCCCCAAAGACTCCATGTAGAAATGCACAAGGACCCCAGCCAGCTGTTTTTCTCTCCCAGAAAAGCAGTTTAAAAGGCTGCCAATTTTGTCCCTGCCGCCTTCTAGCGTACTGCCTCAGGGACTTCAGGGCAGGTTTGTATTCCTTTGTCCTGCACTGATTCTAAATCATCCCTTTTTGGCATAAAATTTCCAAGGCATTTAATAAGTTTCCAGATTAATTTCACAGGGGAGGGGTTTCCCACCACCACTTCAAGTTTAATATGTCTGAAACCAAAACCTTCTCCTTAGCCCCTCATCTTTCAAATTAACTACTCTCTTCAACTACTTCCCTTCCTCTTAGTGAAAATCCCATTCTGTCACTATCCTAATCGAGTTCAGCTAGATTACTGTAACTAACTTCAAGATGGTCTTCACATCTGTGCTTCTCCCAACTTCAACAGCATTCTTTATACCACCTGACTCACCTGCCCAGTACACCACTTTTATCTTTAAAGGAAGAATCCCCCAAAACTCAGAGGTACCTTGAGGATCCTGCAAAAACGAGAGGGAATTCTACCTGGCAGGGCTCATGGCCACCCCCATTTAAACACAGTGTCACAGATTTTACATTAATGTTGTAAATGTCATCTTACTATTTTGTTAGGTGAAGGGGTGCTTAGCAATCACTGCCCTGAGTAAACAAATGGTCACAATACATTCACCTGTATTAGTTTTCTATCACTGCCATAAAAATTAACACAAATGCAATGGCTTAAAAGCACAGAAGTTTATCATTACAGTTCTGGAGGTCAGAGTCTGACATGGGTCTCACTGGCCTAGTATCAAGGCTCAGACAAGGCCGAGTTCTTTTCTAGAGGCCGGGGTGCTCTCCTGCATTTTTGAGCATCCAGTGTTCGTCTTTCATGACCCTTTCCACCATCTTCAAAGCCAGCAACAGCCAGCTGAGCCCTCCTTCCACTTTTAAGGAAACTTGTGATTACATTGAGCCCGTTAGGATTTTCCAGAATAGTCCTCCTATCATAAAGTCAGCTGATTAGCAGCCTTCTGCCACAGAAGGTAACATGTTCACAGGTTCCAGGAATTAAAACATGAACATCTGCAAATTAAAACGACAATGAGGTATCACCTCACACCTGTCAGAATGGCTCCATCAACAAATGACATGTGCTGGCGAGGGTGCGGAGAAAGGGGAGCCCTAGTACACTGCTGGTGGGAATGCAGACTGGTGCAGACACTGTGGGAAACAGTATGGAGTTCCCTCAGACCCAGTGATCCCACTCCTAGGAACAGATCCTAAGAACCCTGAAACACTAATCAGAAAGACTATATGCACCCCTATGTTCAGTGCAGTGCAACTTACAATAGCTGAGATCTGGAAACAGTCCAAGTGCCCATCACTAGATGAGTGGATAAAAAGCTGTGGGACATTCACACCATGGACTACTATGCAGCTGTAAAAAAAGGATCTCATACCCTTTGGGAGAGCACGGAGGGACCTGGAGAATATTATGCTAAGAGAAATAAGCCAGTCAGAGAAAGGTAAGTATCACATCACCTCACTCACATATGGAATGTAATGAACAAAATAAACTGATGAACAAAACAGATCCAGAGACATAGAAGCATGGACTCCACACCATGGGCTAAGGGACTGCAACTAGCCTGACGCTGAACTGGACGCAGCTCCAACATGGAAAGGAGACTCTGGACATGGGCTTTGTTTTTAGCTCTACTGAATCCCTGGCTACACTTCTTCCAGGACAGGACTCAGGGAAATGGGACTTTGGAATTCCACACAAATAAAAATCACTCATCCTCAGAGTGATTTGAAAATTCTTTTTCAAAATCACTTTTTTCCTCAAGTACATATTACCACCGATCACACTTTATTAACTTCAGTATTTGCCGTATTTCTTTAAACTCCCCAAGTGTCGCACCTGCTGGAGAACTGAAACAATATACCGTAACGTTATGACACATACTTTATTATCTGTCATGATGCATTTTAAAAGACATTAAAATACCAAAAATAAAGTAAGTACATTTTAATTTTTTTAGGACCCTGTTTTCACCATATTAGTTCAGTTTACCAAGAGTGCAACTGGGTTCATAAACATGTTAAATGCAATGGGATTACCCACCCCATTTATAAGGACCAAAAGCACCTGTAGAGCTACAATTCACTATCACATCCCAATTTTCCAGGGCATCAAGCAGAGTGACTGAAGTACCACAGTCCGCCTCCTTGCTGGCTAATGGCATCAGCTCAAGGAATTTTAATATTTTAATAATACACCCCCAGAAACCTCATCTAAAACGAGCATCTGAGATTCACACTATCCTTTGGATTATTTTTTTTCA